ATTGCTCCTACTGGCCTCGGAAATATTTTTTTAATTGATTCAGTACTCAGATTGTCTATTTGCATACTTTTTTTTTTACCATAACTTACATTCTGATATTGTTAAACCTCTTATGGGCTTGGAGTTTCTGTGGGAATCTGTGTCCATTTAGCCAGAAGAGCATTTGTGAGGTCAGGCACCGATGTTGGATGAGCAGACCTGATCACAATCAGTGTTCCAATTCAACCCAAACGTTTTCAGTAGGGGTGAGGCCAGGTACTGATGTTAGCTGAGAAGATCTGGTCACAATCAGCATTCAAGTTCATCCTAAAGGTGTTTAGTAGGGTGAGGTCAGGGCTCTATGGGGATCACTTGAGTTTCTCCAAACCGAACTGGCTAAACCTTGTCTTTGTGGAGCTGGCTTTGCACACAGGGACATAGTCATGCTGGAACAGAAAACGACCATCACCAAATTGTTGTCACAAGGCTGGAAGTGTACAATTGTCTAAAATGTCTTTGTATGCTATAGTGTTAACAGTACTCATTACTGGAAACACATGAACTCATTAATTTGGAGGGTTGTTCATAAACATTTGGCCATACAGTGTAGGTGCGATGGTCAGGTATCTACAAACCTTTGGACATATGGTGGGGGTGTGTTGGACTGCAGTAGAGAGGGCCGCTGCTTACACACAGAGCCTTAGTCCTGGCTCTGGAAGAGTTCCATATGTTCTGAAGCAGGCTGAGGGCCTAAGCAGACCAAATAGCCAGTAGACTGAATACTGGATATATACTTTGTATCTGTATGATGCTGAAAACACCATTGTTAAGCTGCTTTGTGGATAAATATAAGGTGGTAGGGGCCCTAAAACAAACTTTGCAAAGGGGGACACAGGCTTTCTTCATTTGAAAATAAAAGAAGTTCAAACTTTCTTGTACACGCACCAAATAATGCAAATGGAAACATGGCAGCCGCCCAACCAATAGTAGCTTTCAGCTGTTTTCTAAAAGTCTGCACTTTTTTTCTTGTGAATGCGCCTGTAAAAGAAAAGGGATGACTCTGGCTGACTCAATTTACTAAATGCTATCATAAAGGTCTCTCTTGTCAGTGGTGATTAGATTAGGCCAAGGCTGCATGATACAGAGGCACCTTGAAACATTGTGCTGAGCCCACTTACTTATGCAACAAAAGGACTTCTAATTCAAATTTAGAAACAGATTAGGTCCTCTGTGCTTCCTGGCAGGGCTGAGAACATTGAACTGTGCACTTTGTGAATTACCCTCTTTACACAATAAGCAAAAGAGTGGGACACTATGTAATAATCAGGATGCCTGCAGAATATCAAAGCTTCTGTGGTGCTGAATCCAACTTATACAGAAATCTGTTCGTTGTGAGATAAAGATGTGCACACAACTCTGATTTCTGAGCTTCTCTTCTTTTTCTTTCTTTTATTGCATTAAAGATGTCCAAAAAAAACAAAAAACCCACCACAACAAATTCATAATTACATAGTAGATAAGGTTTAATAAAGATGTAGGTCAATCCAATTCAACCTGTGTGTGTGTGTCTGTATTTATCTTGCTCTAACACTTCCCATATCCCTGTAGATTAAGCGAAAAAACAAAAAAAAGAAACTCATCAAGAAGTTTCTTGAATTTATCAACGCTATAAGCAGATACCAGCGCCTGTGGGAGGGAATTCCCAAATTTCACTACTCTCACAGTAAAAAAACAAAAACCCACGACATCTAAGATTGAACCCCCTCTTTTCTAACCTCTTGTTGCGTCCCCGGGTTCTCAATACAGTTTTCGGATTGAACAGTTTATTCTGAATATCGTGGTCCCCTTTGATGATTTTGAAGGCTGCACTAAGGTCTCCTCTTAATCACCACTTTTCTAAGGTGAATAAGTTTACATTTTGAATGCGGTCTTAATAGCTCAGACCTTCCCTTTAATTAATTTTGTAGCCTTTCTCTGCACTTTCTCTGCACTTTTCTCCACTTCCAGGACGTCCTTCTGAGAGTCGGCGACCAGAACTGTATCGTATACTCTAGATGAGGCTGAACCAGTGATTTCTGGAGTGGAAGTATTACTCTTTGATCCCTTGCTACAATCCCTCTTTTAATGACTTGTTAACATTTTGCAACATGAAATCACATTTGCCATCTTTTAGCCCATGCCTCAATTTTATTTAGGTCCTATTGAATATCCCCTGTTCGGAATCTACTGCCCTACACAGTTTCGTATTGTCTGCAAAAACCGAAACAGAACTATTTAGTCCAATCTCTATGTCGTGAATGTATAAGATGAACAGGATCGGTCTCAGGACTGAGCCCTGAGGCATCCCACTCCCAACCTTTGCCCAATTAGAAAATTACCCATTTATCACTACCCACTGGATCCGTTCTTGCAGCCAATTTTCCACCCATGTACATACAATTCCATCTAGACCTATATACCTTAGTTTACAAAGTAAATGTTTATGGGGTACTGTATCAAATGCTTTAGCAGAGTCCAGATACACCACATCTACTCTGTCTAAATTAGCACTTACTTCCTCATAAAATGATAATAGATTAGTCTGACAAGAACGGTTCTTCATGAAGCCATGTTGGTTACTACTTATGATACCAGTCTTATTTGCAAATTCCTGCATGTAGTCCCTTATCATGCCTTCTAATATTTTGCACACTATTGATGTTAGGCTGACAGGCCGTTAGTTTCCATTGTACTTTTTTTCCCCTCTTTGAATATTGGTACCATATTCGCTTTCCACCAATCAGCCAGGAGCACAACTGTCATTATAGTGCCCACAGGCTAATGCAATGTTTATAAATGTCATAAATTACACAACCAGTAAAGGTGAGCTACGTTGGATGTATTTCTAAGTGTACTAGGAGACTACTAGACATCTCCCAGTTCACTTTCCCACCTTCCATGGTTGTATCTTTTTGTGAGTGTGATGTTTATGTGACAATATGGTCAGCAGACCTGGTCTTGGCTCAAGTATAATGTGCCAATCTACCTTGCAGTCTTCACTTACAGACACCCGCCATCCAAGGGAACTTAGCATCTCCTACTTGGCTGTCTCCATTATTTATGTGTGAAGGATATTATACTTGGGCAGATGGAGACCAAAAGACTTGACCAATGCAACGAGGGTACAGCTAGGCAAGTCAACATCCAAGCCTACGCAAAGAACAGAGAATGGCCATGAGCGGGTCTAAGGTCTAAGCAAAAGAGCTTACGATCAGGCAACTTATCCAAAGGGTCATATAAGAATGGTAGTCCAATAACAGGCAGAAAGTTGGTCCAGGTTCAATGGTCAGAGCTCTGCTCAGCAGCTGAAGTACTGTTAACTAACAGGAAACACACCCAGGAGTGAGAAGCAACGTGAGATGCTGTTGCAGAGGTGAACATGACTGTCAGGAACCTGATCTGCACCCAGGGCCTCTGCTGTAGCTGGCAGTGGTTGTACCTGCTAAGCCACTTTAGAACCTTGGATAGCTCCTTGCCTGATCTCCTGTGTAATCCTCTGTGAAACCTAGTTTCTGCTGAACTCTGAACTCCTTGCTCCACCCTTGAACTTCCTATTTAAGCCATGCCTCTGCACTTCCTGTTTGCCAGATTATTGTGCTCCTGCCAATATCTTGCTTCCTGCTCCTCCTGTAATACAATCCGCTCATACTGCTACCCGTGAACTGACCTTTGCTGATTCACCGACTACTCTCATCGTCTTCCGCTTCATAGCTGATACCTTTGGCTACTGACCTCGGCTTGATCTCTGACTACGCTTCTGCCTGCTCCTACACTACTACCGTCTGCTTGTGTATCAAACTCGGCCTGTTTGACTACGACTTTGCCTGCTGTTTCAGCTGCATGACTCCGAGCCTGATCCAGATCGTGACAATGACCCTGTATGTACTGGTAGGCTGGCAGGAGCACCTGCCTGAGTGTATTGAAAGGACAAGGTTTTGGCTGCAGAGAAGGAGGTAAGCAAGAGGCATACTTGACTGCTTTTATAGACCATGGACACCTAGGCTTTTAAAGAATGAATGACCATTCCAATTTTGGACCACCCATTGGAGTTAAAACTGATTGAGGATATCAGGAAGCAAAAATATTCCAGGGATCGCCCCTGGAAATAAGTTATGCTTGATAATGGCTTGTGTACACAGTTGTAGCTGTCAAATGAAGGTTCTTACATTCAAAAGCAACGCAAACTCGTACTTTTTGATGCAAAAGGGTTTTGTCTGGTCTGCTTTGCATTCAATGGAAACGCATCTCCAATAGGACATGATGGATTCAGAGAAAAATAAAACACAAAGCAGGCCAGAGGAAACCTCAGAACTGGAATTCTGCTGACCTATGTTTGAGGTGCATCTCAATTGCATGCCAAACATAGGCTTAAAAATCCTATACACAAGCCCTAACAGTTCCAAAAGTCACGGACAACCATACCACCATTCAAATTAAGAGCAGACAATTCTGAAAAGATCGAGACATGAACTGTTTATTGCAACCCATCCATAGTTTTCTTATGAGGTACAAAGCTCTGCACCTGAGTGCATGTATTCCTATGGGTTGTGCGGACGTTACATACAGGCAGCTGACACATGTCTGCAATAAAGACTTTTTAGATCCAGCTTTTCAAAAGCAAACTGACTGCATCTATTATAGACACACACGGCTCATCCCCAGCGGAATCTGCTGCTATTTTTTGTTTGCAAGCACAGTTAGGAGCGCTGCAGTTCCATATCCCTTTAAAATCCAGCAAATGTGGCTTATAATAGTAGAGAACCCTGCACCTACTTTTGCCAATGTGGCATCTAAAGGAAATTCAACCTTTGCCAGTTTTCCAGAAGGTCAAAATAGAGGATAGCGTCCCTTAACCTGATCCTCAGAGCAACAAAAAGGCAAATAGAAATTAATCATTCTGATGACTTAAAAAAAAAATGTTTTATTTTATTATATGCATTTTTTGTGTTTTATAATGCATACCAGTTTCACAAAGTGCATGCTTTTTTTTATTATTATTTTGAACTGGCAAGCGAGAAGTATCCATTGCCTCCATTTTATCTTAAACTATATTTTTTCTTAAACAATCTATCTAGCATTTAAAAATTCATCAGGCGATACCCCGGCATACAGTATTGTCTAATGCACATGCTTAAGTCTGGCACTAAAAAATAAGTATAACAAAAAATATTTATTTTTTCCAGAATATTCTCTTCTAGGATGAACCTCTATATTAAGCAATATTTTTTCTTTCAAGTAGATAATACCTGATATTAAAATGTTTTATTTTCTTCAGAATGCATTATTTGTGGGATTGCACAGACATATTAGTGTATACCCGTCACCTGCTTTTTTTTGTTTATTTTTTTTAAATTTTAATATTTTGTAAAAGGAAAAAAAAGTTTGTTAGTTCACAAATATGAGTGGCACACAAATGCCTCCCCCGTTCGTGTGCAACTTTGGAATTGTAAATTATATTTATTACGAAAACTTCTGAAATCCACTCAGGGGGTTTAGCGTAAGGCATAATTTGCTGGAGTAGACGTTTCCCATGCTTCATGCTCAATTTTTTTGAGTCTCGAAAAAGGCAGACTAGTTGATTTTTTATTTTTTTTCCCCCCCTCTTTGCTTTCTTTTGCCCCTCTCTGCGTCCGTTGCGTAAAGCAACACCTAAACAACAGAGAGAGAGAGAGAGAGAAAGAGGACGGTGATCAGCGGCAAAAGAACGAAGGTAACCTCAAATTGACTTTCGTCTTTTCATTAGCCTGTGGCTTTCTGTAAAGCTGTGCAAACCGGGGGAAATAGAGCTAACGGGAGATGGAAAGAGACTGTTTTTTAATGTGCTTGGTGATATTTCTTCAATTTTATACGATATAGAATGAAAGTACTGAGGATTCAGCTTGTTGCTGAAGGAGTTTTGGTGAGCTACCACCCGACTGGTGTACTCATGGGACCTGTAGCACATGCAAGAGCAAACTGACTGAAGGTCTGTCACTTCAGTCTTATACCGTGGCCGGCCGTGTTGTGAGTCTTCTTGGATGTGGATGATCATGCTGTTGCGATTTCCGGCTAAAGATGCCCGCTCCTCGGCATCCCTCCTCTCGTCTTCACTGTTCATGGTTAAAAACCTGAGAACGACTAAGTTTAGAAAAGCCCCGATGACCGTCAACCCCACCAGAATGTACATAAAGCTAAAAGCCACGTAGAGGGGCTTCTTTTGGAGGGCCCTGTTCTTCTGCAGGGCCACGTAGTCCCCGAAGCCTATTGTCGTTAAAGTTATAAAGCAGTAGTAGTAGGCCTGGAAGAAGCTCCACTCTTCGTAGTGGGAGAAGGCAGCGGCTCCGATGCATAGGGTGCCCATGCATGAGAAGAACCCAACGGTCACCATGTTCTCCATGGATACATCCGTGCTCCGCATCCCGCAGCACTTCTTAATCCGTTTCAGGAGGAACTTTACGAAGGTGTTCATTCGCTCGCCGAGGCTCTGAAACATCACCAGGGTGAGGGGGATTCCCAGCACAGCGTAGAACATGCAAAAGGCTTTTCCTGCGTCGGTGCCTGGTGCAGCGTGCCCATAACCTAGAAGAACAGAGAAACAGAAGCTGCGTTACACAATTGAAGGGAAAAAGTATCACAAGACCCCAAAATCATAATACAATATATCAATGGATCCCAATTTTTACATTTGGTAGGTGACCATAGATGTTAGGAAATATGTTTACTAAAGAAGTTGTTTTGGTCATCTAGCCGATGAAATCTGTGTTCATCCAAACCTGCATTGAAATTAATGTCTATTATTATTATTGGTAGTTTTATAGCGCCGACAATTTACGCAGCACTTTACATAGTTGCACATTTACATCAGTCCCAGCCCTCAAGGAGCTCACAATCTAAGGTCCCTATCTCACATGGATACATACGAGGGTCAATTTAGATCGGAGCCAATTAACCTTCCAGCATGTTTTTGGAGTGTGGGAGGAAACCGGAGTATCCGGAGGAAACCCACGCAAGCACAGGGGGAACATGCAAACTCCTTGCAGATAGTGACCTGGCTGGGATTCGAAAGCGGGACCCCCAGTGCTGCAAGGCGGTAGTGCTAACCTCTACGCAACTGTGCTGCCAATGTCTAGCTTGTGACTGGCCACTGGTAGTCCTTTTGGGTTCACAAGACCATGCATAAAACACACCTCTTTGGGTTATTTTCATCTAGAACCAATCATAGGGTCAGAGACCAGATTACCTACAGTGTACCTCTGAATGCAACAAATGATTTAGACACATTGGAATGTTTAGGAGTAAAATAGAACATTTGGTGGTTGGATAATATGCTGGTATCTGGATATTAGTTACCATCATTTTTGTAATTACGAGGCACCAGCCAGTACTGTTGGAACTGATAAAATTGACATCTATGATACAGCTTTGATGTAAAGATGTGCCCTGCCTCCTGAGAGATCAATAATCCTGTGACGACTTTGTAATAGGGCCATTAAATAACACAGAGCTTTTGGAGAAGGGAAGATCTGCCTGAGGGGCCTTATCAAGCCAGACCTCCTGCTGGTATCTACTGTCCACACCTGTGTTAGCAATGCAGCATACATGCTGATGAGGGCAGGGGCATATGATGGAACCTTCTTCCTGTGTAATCATCTGCACAAACCCAACACACAAGCAGGAACAATGGTAACCTTGGTGACCTTTGGGAAAAGACAAAAGTCTTTCTGGACTCTACAATCAAGAATGTGATTCACTAAGACCTGCTGGAGACAGGGCCGCATTTCCCTCAAGGCCAACCAAGGCCCGTCCTTGGGGCAGCAGGGAGTAGAGGGGCAGCAGGGGTGTAGAATTCCTACCTCCCGACGCCCGGGACATGCAGTTCCGGGCGCGGAGCGTTTAGTTGTTTTCTACATTTAACTCTGCTTTGGGCATCTAAATGTACAGCGGGGAAGCCGACCCCTTGTTTTGTATGCAGCCTGCAGGTCTGCCATTCTCTATGGAAGGGGGGGCTTTTTGGCGGGTGGGGGTACATTGAGGAACCTGGCCTTGGGGCAGCATAGAGAGTAAATCCGGCCCTGGCTGGAGAGGAGTGTTCTGAACACAGAGAAAAGGCCTGGCATGTGTGAATGAGAGAGAGAATGATGTTGCTAGCTGAAGGATCCTAACCTCAATTCCTATCCCTACTGACCCCCTCCAAATCCCCCCTCCATTTCCCTTAATTGTAACTATAGTGTATGTATTTCCCTATTTGTAAATAAACCCAACTCTTATTTAGGATTAAGTTGTTCATCAGTAATTTAAAGTCACCCCCAAAGCGGAGCACATTCTACTAGTACATCCAATTCTGGTGACAGTAGCCCAGCAGAAGACATCTTAAAGTGCAACTCCAGTTTGAGCACAGAACGCACATTTTCAGTCCTTGGCAGCTAAATAAAGGAGCTCCAGCTGCTATACTCACCCAATCTCTAGCGCCTCCCCCAACACCCATTTCCAAGAACCAACCGCATTCCTTACGGTCTGCAACCTTCCAATGATGGTTGTGCTCATGGTGATCGCACGGATGGCGTTGTGCAAAGCTCAGAATAGTCTCAACAGGTCACCGGCACACTCACAGATGAATTCAATATCTCTTAGATATGTTTATTGAAGAATGTCACAGCATGTCATTAGAAGCTGAAGCTAGCATTTTCAGGACCTCGCAGGGACCCTTCGTGACTATGTCGCTCTGATGTAGGGTCTCTGCGAGGTCTCGAAATGCTAGCTTCAGCCTCTAATGACATGCTGTGACATTCTTCAATCAACATATCAAAGAGATATTGAATTCACCTGTGTGTGTGCCGGGGACCTGTTGAGACTCCCCCCAACACCCAACTCGAGAGACCCACTGATCCAGCAATGAGATACCACTGCTTTTTTGGCCTGAACGATGCTCATTATAGGGAAGGTGGGTATGTGTTGCTGCTAGGGTCACCATGAAAGCAAACCTGTTGCTTTGCATGGCAAAAGGTCAGGACCAGGGTCGGACTTACTTTCTCTGCTGCCCCAAGGCCAGGTTCCTCAATGCGCCCCCCTACCCGCCAACCCCAGCCCCCCCTGTGGAAAATGCGAGACCTGCAGGGGGCAAGACACCACTTGTACAAAACAAGCGGTGGCTTTCTCGCTGTACATTTAGCGCTCTGCTTGCCCAAAGCAGGGCTACATGTAGATAACAACTACCCGCCCCGTGCCCAGAACTTCATATCCCGGGCATTGGGAGAAAGGAGTGCCACACTGCTGCTGCCCCTCTACTCCCTGCTGCCCCGAGGCCAGGCCTTGGTTGGCCTTGTGGGAAATCCGGCCCTGGTCAGGACCACTTTAAAAATGGATGATGGTGGAAGAAAAAGGAGGTAGAAGGCAATCTGAGTTCCTAAAGTAAGAGTCCATCCAAAAGAAAGACGGCTCGCTGCCATGCAAAAGGGAAAATTACAGAAACAGTTAAAAGCTGAATTTTCCATCCAATTCTCTTTTATAATGCCAGCTAATCTCTCTTTATACTTTCTCTTTGATCTCTATATTACAGTAGGAGACTGCTTTACATGTACCCCCGTCCGCTGCCTAATTCATCATTCTATTTTTACCTGTCATGCCATAGACCTATTCTTCAAGTTCACAGCTCTTATTCTGACGTCCCCCAGTTATCACTGTGCCGGGCTAATTACAGGCTCTGAATATCCCAAAAATAAAAAATTAGCTGCATAATGCTTCCAGGCAGGCGGCATGGCCTGTACCACCCCAGCACACCTGGTTAGCTGCCGCGATTGAGACGTTCCACCTTCCTGACGGAATGGATTAGCTGGAAGTACTGAGCACTCAGCTGTGATCTCCGGTGGTGCTTTGTAGATTTAAGCATTGTACTGCTCCTTGCTTTCTTCCTGTGCTGAACTCCAAAGTTCCTACAGTTGGAAGTCTGCTCACTGTCAGCAGAACGTAGTTCTGTTGTAGTTATATAGCTAACAGATGTCCCTTTTTTTTTAGACCCAGATCCCGCAGTTCCTGGTTTTGCCCTCTTAAAGTGAACGTCGGGTTTTAGCAACTCGAATAAAACGCTTCCCTGCAAAGAAAAGGGTAATAGTTACCTGTGCCACTGACATCTGCAGTCATCACGAGCTCGGATGGCTAAAAAATCATCAGCATCAATCACTTCATGCTCAGATCCTTTATTGGATGTGTTTCAGCCTTAGGCATAGCAACTATGACTAAGGCCATGTGTGGCTGAAACGTGTTAGCCGGTTGTAATACTTTGATATCCAAGGAAGAATCAGAACATAAAGCAGTGTGCCGGAACCTGTGTTATATTTGTTGTGAAGTGTGCATCAGCATTTCCCTCTTTACCCACGGCAGTGTGCTACAGGTTGAGTGTGTTTTCAGTTTTGTTTGCAGCATCCAACACTTCCTGGAGTGTCAGATGCCTGTGTCCCTCGCTGCACACTATGGCTTATTCCTCCGACCCTGTATCCCCCAGGCGCATTCTGTGGTTTCTTCCTTCAGCCCTGTGTCCCTCCTGCCACACGTTGTGGTTTCTTCCTCCAACCCTGTATCCCCAAGCCGCATGTTGTGGTTTCTTCCTTCAGCCCTGTGTCCCTCGCTGCACACTATGGTTTATTCCTCCGACCCTGTATCCCCCAGGCGCATGCTGTGGTTTCCTCCTTAAGCCCTGTGTCCCTCCTGCCGCACGTTGTGGTTTCTTCCTCCAACCCTGTATCCCCAAGCCGCATGCTGTGGTTTCTTCCTTCAGCCCTGTGTGTACTCCTGCTACACATTGTGGTTTCTGCCTTCAGCCCTCTGTTCCCTCCAGCCGCACATTGTGTCTGCCTTCAGCCCTCTGACCCTACCATTGCATGCTGTGGTTTCTTCCTCTGGCCATGGTCCCCAGTCCACTTTCTTCCTCCAGCCTCTACATCACACTCAGACACAGGCTTGCCATAAGAGCCAGAGGAAGAAGTAACAAAATGCAGAGGAGGACCAATCATCTGACACTCCTGAAAGTGTCAGATGCCGAAGATAGCTCAGCAGGTGTACATGGTGAAGACAGCAGAGGCCAGTGGTGGCTTGGGTGAGGGGTAAAAGTATTAATTCTTTTCTTTGCAGGGAGTCATTTGATGGTATGTTTTAAAATTCTTAAAGTACCACTTTAAATTCAACTTAAAGCACATCTAGAGCCTACATTGACCTCTGTAGCTGCAAGTACTGTAGAGCAATTCAGCCTCCAAGATCACAGCACAACCAGTGAAGTCATCCAAATCTTTTTTTAGCAGCAAAGAAACCCTGTTCCCTACTCCCAACAGTCACTCTGCAGCTCAGCTCCCCCAGTTTCCATCTTTGAGCAGCGACTCTGAACCTCAGCTCCCCCTGCTTCCCCCTCTCAGCAGTAACTCAACAACTCCACTCCCAATTACCAGCAGCTAATTAGTAGCTTAGCTCACCCTGCTTTCCACTCCCCGCTGAGAGAAGGGAGTGTGGTGAGCTGAGCTGCTGAGTCACTGTTTGGAGGAGGGAGCAGGGAGTGCTGAGCTGATGAGTCACTGCCTGGAGAAGGGAGCTGT